GGCACGTATCCAGGCCGGGGTCTCAGGATAACGTGAGAGTAAGCCGGCCCGAACTCCAGGCACGCTTCGTCAACGGAGAATGCCTGCAGGTCCCCCACCCTCTTGATGGAGGCCAATGCAACCAGGAGTGCTGCTTTCATGGACAGAAACTTAAACTCTACCGATTGCAAAGGCTCAAAGGGAGGCCTCTGCAGAGCACTTAGAACTACCGAGAGGTCCCAAGAGGGTACGAGGGGAGGACGAGGCGGATGTAGCCTCCTCGCTCCCCTCAAGAACCTGATGACCAGGTCGTGCTTTCCTATGGACTTACCTTCAACTGCTACATGAGAAGCGGCAATGGCCGCGACATAAACCTTAAGGGTGGAGGGCGACCGCCTACGCTCCAACCCTTCTTGCAGGAAGGAAAGCACAACACTGATCGAGCATCTCCGGGGGTCTTCTCCGCGAGAAGAGCACCAATTGACGAAGAGGTTCCACTTCAACGCATAGAGGTGTCTCGTGGACGACGCTCTGGCGGAAGTGATGGTTGCCGCCACCGCAGGTGGCAGCGAACTCAAACCTGCCTCGTCCCGTCCAGGAGCCACATGTGTAGCCTCCAAAGATCGGGACGAGGGTGCCACAGAGTGCCCCGTCTCTGAGTGAGTAGATCTGGTCTCAGAGGAATAGGCCAAGGAGGTGCTGTCGCGAGGAGCACGAGTTCGGAGAACCACGTCTTGGTGGGCCAATAGGGGGCTACCAGCAAGACCTGCTCCTCGTCCTCCTTGATCTTGCACAACACCCGTGCAAGGAGGCTCACTGGGGGAAACGCATACTTGCGTGGGCCCCGCGGCCAGCTCTGCGCCAGTGCATCCGTGCCGAGCGTGCCGTCGGTCAGAGAATAAAACTGGGCGCAGTGGGACGAGTCCCGAGAGGCGAACAGATCTATCTGTGCCTCCCCGAAGTGATCCCAAATCAGCTGGACCGTCTGGGGATGGAGTCTCCATTCGCCGGAGATAGGGCGGACCCGTGACAGCTGGTCGGCCGCCAGGTTCCGGTCTCCTGGAATGTACACTGCACGAAGGGACCTCAGGTGCTTCTGACTCCATAGCAAGAGGTGGCGGGCGAGCTGCGACAACCGGCGTGAGCGTAGACCCCCCTGGTGGTTTATGTACGCTACTGCCGAAGTGTTGTCTGAACGGACAAGTACATGTTGGCCTCTGAGCAATGCTCGGAAGCGGTGCAAGGCCAGGCGTACTGCCAGCAGCTCGAGGCAATTGATGTGCATGAGGCGCTGGGCTCCTGTCTAGGAACCGGCGGCTGCATGCCCATTGCACATGGCACCCCAACCCGTGGTAGATGCATCCGTGGAGACAACGAGATGCCTGGAAACTAGCTGAAGGGGGACACCGGCCCGCAAAAAGCTGAGGTTCAACCACGGAAAGAAGGTTCGGCGGCACGCTGGAGTCACTGGGACTCTGAACGCGCCGTGATGCCATGCCCACCTCGGGACTCGATCGCGAAGCCACAGCTGAAGCGGTCTCATATGAAGCAAACCGAGCGGCGTTGCCGCGGCTGCGGATGCCATATGCCCCAGGAGCCTCTGAAAAAGTTTCAGTGGGACCGCGTTCTTGTTCTCGAAGCGTCGAAGACAAGCCAGCAGTGAGTGCGCGCGCTCGCTCGTGAGCTGCGCGGACATGGCGACCGAGTCTATCTCCATGCCGAGAAAAGAGATCCTCTGCACGGGGCAAAGTTTGCTCTTCTCCCGGTTGACCCGAAGGCCCAGACGGGCTAAGTGTCGGAGCACCAGGTCTCTGTGTTCGCAAACCTGACGTCGAGAGTGTGCCAGTATCAGCCAGTCGTCGAGATAGTTCAGGATGCGAACCCCGTGTTCGCGAAGGGGAACAAGGGCTGCCTCGACGATCTTCGTGAAGACGCGAGGGGACAGAGCTAACCCGAATGGGAGAACCGTGTACTGATATGCCTGATCCTCGAAAGCGAACCGAAGAAACGGTCAATGTCGAGGCAAAATGGAGACATGAAAGTACGCGTCCTTCAGGTCGATCGCTGCAAACCAATCTTGAGGCTGAACGCATTCGAAAATGCGTTTGGCCGTGAGCATTCTGAACGATAGTCGATGAAGAGAACGGTTCAAAATGCGCAGATCCAGGATCGGTCGTAACCCACCGGTCTTCTTGGGGACAATGAAGTAGGGGCTGTAAAACCCGGACCTCATCTCGGCTGGAGGGACCGTCTCGATTGCACCCTTCGCCAGTAGGGACGCAATCTCCGCTCTCATGATCGGGGCATTGCCACCGACCAGAGTAGAGCGAATTCCCCTGAAACGGGGAGGAGACCGTGCGAACTGAATCGCGTAGCCGAATCTGATTGTTCTGATGACCCAGCTGGACAGACCGGGAAGCTCTAGCCAGGCTTCCAGGAAGTGTACCAGCGGGGTCATAGGAACCACAGACGTCCCCCCGGAGGGGCAGCGAGGCGGGTCGACTGGCATGCGTGCAGGAGTTACCCCGTCCGGATGCACTGTCGAGGCCCGCTCCCCGACAGAAGAGACCAGGGAAGGACCAGCGTTCCACGGGGGTCTGTTCTGCCGGGGGTCTGGCGATAGAGGGGGAGGGGATTGGTGCGGTCGTGGGACGGCACACGCTCCTCTCCGCGCCCTCTGAGACAGAGAGGAATGTGTAGGCTGACGTGCTGGGACGCCGAGCGCACTCATTCCTGTCTGTGTGCTCAGTGGTGATGTCAAGTCTTTCTTTAACCAACTCAGGGTGCTGCCCACCCGTGGGTGAGCAGCGGGGAGCTGAGAACAAAAGATTCTCCCCCGGCCCTCCACCGGGGGAAGGAGGGGGCCTGCTACCACCTCCTGGGAAACACTCGACATCATCACTGAGCAGCCCGTCTCAGGAACGTCGCTTAGCCTGGCGTTTAGCAGGGCGTGCGGCCTGAGGGGGCTGTGACGCGCGTCGGCGGCCTCCTCCGCACCGCGTCCCGGGTGAAGGCTGCTGCTGAGGACGCGTGGGAGGGAGGGGAGCCGCGGGGGGGCGTCCCAGTCAGTCCCGCCCTCGTGCATGTCTCTGAGCAGTTTGGCTTGGAAAACCTGTAAAGTGCTCATCGCATGCAGGGCGGAGGCTGCCTGTCCCGCCGCTCTATAGGAACGCGCCGCCATAGCAGACGAGAACCCACAGGCTTTGGACGGGTGCTTTGGAGGACCCCGGGAGGAGGCGCTCTGTGGACACAGTTGCATCGCAACAGAGCGCTCCAGCGGGGGCATCCCAGTGTACCCACGGGCGGCCCCACCATCGAGGGGAGGAAAGGCGGGGGAGGACCGAGTGCGCTCTCGGAAGGACAAAGGAGCCCTCCAAGAGCGCGTCAGCTCCGCATGCAGCTCGGGAAAAAACGGCATTGGGGTCGGCTGTGGCTTTGCAGCGGCAGCTTTGCCCAAAAACCATTTATCCATCCGTGAGCGATCGGGGCAGGGCGGAGGGTTCCACTCTAACCCGATGCTCACGGCGGCCCGAGATAGCATAGCCGTCATCTCGGGATCAGACACGGGCAACGGTGGCACTCCCGAGGGAGGCAGCGCAGCCGTATCCTCATCTCCCGAGAGATCTAGCTCGCCTTGTGATGCCGCGATCGACATCGCATCATCCTCTGGAGCGCCGAACGAAACAGACGGTACCCCCGAAGAGGCAGACGGCTGAATCGAACTGACGCTCGTTGGTTCTAACACCGAGGCGGGAGGTGTGGCCCGAGGAAGCATCGTCGGGGCTTTGTTCCACACCGTCACCGACAGATCGCCGTGTCCGCGAGTCGAAGAGCTCCTTGTTGAAGAAGCTGATCGAGTGGCGGGGACGGGGACTCTCACTTTTGTCAGATCATTGAGTCTCGACCTCAGTGTAGAGATGGTCATGTCCCCACAGAAGGAACATGAGTCATCCGCGAACGCTGCGGCTGCATGCTGAATGCCCAGGCATACAGCACAGCGATCGTGACCATCAGAGGACGACATGAGTCGACCGCATCCAGAAGGGCACAGGCGAGACATCTTTAAAAAGACGTGCCACGTGCAGCTTTTTCAATGAGAGGAAATTCACTCTTTCAGCGCCGAAGTGTCCAGGGAGAAGCGCACCGTCTGGCAGACCACTGCTCAGATCGCAGGCAGTGCAGAATCTCGCTGGGTATCGCCGTCACACCAACACTGAAGAGGACGCTCGTCTCGAAGAGTCTTTGTAGTGAGAATGGCTTTAGGAGTGAAGAGGTTCTCTTGGTTCCGAAGCGAAAACATACTGCGGTTGCGTTCACTTCCTCCTTTTATACCCACGGGGTGGGGCGGAGTTACGCTATGCAAATTCCGCAGCCCCAAGGCATTTTCATGCCATTGGCTCGTTTTTAAATACTCGAAGAGGATTGGCTTTCTATGCGAAACCCCCAATCTCCGTCACTTCTGACGTAACTCGAAGTGACTACGAAAGGGAACTCAGTATTTTCACATTTTTGCCAATTTCCCATTCATTTTCCATGCGGGTCCATTTGGACCCGAACACCCCAAGTGTGACTATTTTTTTTACAACCACTTAGACTACTCACATCCTGTCCCCAATTTTTTTGGGTGTTCAAATACCAAATACCAACAAAGTCACAAAATTTCAGACCATTCCGAGGAAGCTGTGATTTAAAAAAAAAAATTATTTAGATTCTTCGGGTCCATTTGGGCCGAACAACCCCAGAGGGTTAAGGGGTTATTTTTTTAACATTTCTTCCGGAGGTGCATTACTCACATTCCAAACCACTTCCATGATATCTTTGGCTGTGGAAAAAGATTGTGGAATGTGTTCTAAAGAAAGCAAATAATGCAAACATTTTATGAGATGCAACACTTCTTTCAGTAGCTTAGTGGGTATAGGATCTGGCATGTTTTTAGTTTTGATGCTTTAAATGTGTTAATGTACTGATGCCTGTTGTTTTGTGCCATTAAAGTTGGGTTTAATAGTATTTGTCTTTTTTAGATCTGATGGCACTGAAAGTGGAGAGTCAAGAACTAAATGAAATGGAAGAGAAAGATCAGTATGGGAAACATCATGATTTCATAACTGGAGAAAAATTGAGCACTGGAGCAAAGCCATATAAATGTAATCAGTGTGGAAAGAGTTTCACTCAAAAAGGAAACCTTAACAAGCACATAAGAATTCACTCTGGAGAGAAGCCTTTCACCTGCCCTCAGTGTGGAAAGAGTTTCACTGATAAAGGAATCCTTAAAATACACATGAGAATTCACACTGGAGAGAAGCCTTTCACCTGCCAACAGTGTGGAAAGAGTTTCACTCAAGAAGTAGTCCTTAACAGGCACTTGAGAATTCACACTGGCGAGAAGCCTTTTACTTGTAAATTGTGTGGAAAGAGCTTCACTGAAAAAGGACACCTTAAAGTCCACATAAGAGTTCACACTGGAGAGAAACCTTTCACCTGCCAACAGTGTGGAAAGAGTTTTATCAAAAAAGCAAACCTTGAGGATCACATGAGGAGAATGCACAATGGAGAGACACCTTTAACCTGCAAATTGTGTGCAAAGAGTTTCATTCAAAAAGGACACCTCACAGGCCACATGAGAATTCACTCTGAAGAGAGGACTTTCACCTGCCAACAGTGTGGAAAGAGTTTCACTCAAAAAGGAAGACTTGAGAATCACATGAGAATTCACACTGGAGAGAAGGCCTTCACCTGCCAACAGTGTGGAAAGAGTTTCATTCAAAAAGGACATCTTAAAGGTCACATGAGAGTTCACACTGGAGAGAAGCCTTTTACCTGCACATTGTGTGGAAAGAGCCACACCGATAAAGGAAACCTTAAAAAACACATGAGAATTCACACTGGAGAGAAGGCATTCATGTGCCAGCAGTGTGGAAAGAGTTTTGCTCAAAGAGGAAACCTTAAGAGGCACATGTCAATTCACAATGGAGAGAAGCTTACACCTACCTAAAGTGTGGAAAGAGTTTCAGAAATAAACCTTGGAAATCTCATGAATATATCAATTAACATGTGATCAGTGTGGAAAGTGTTTCAAACATAAAGGAATCCTTAATTGCCACTTGAGAATTCACTCAAGAAGTGTGGGAAAAGTTTCAGTCAAAACAGACACTTAAAAGTCCCCATGAGTTGTCACACTGGCGAGAAGCCCTCGTAATTTATTTAGCCTTATTACACAGCTCTTTGGAATACTTGATTCTGATTGGTCAATCTCGCCATCCAGCGGTAAGTAATTCCCAGATAACAACCTCTGAAAACAGAAACATAGGCTGATTCGGGTCACTGAAGTCAGCAGCACTATACGCCTGCTAGGAATGTTTTATCTTCTTGGAAGTTTTGGATTTGGTGAGCTAATAAAATGTACATTCAGCCGATTGTTATCTCAAAATAAACCCCTTCAGGCTGATCCTGATCACCCAATCGGGGTTTATTCTGGGAGAACAACCGGCTGGATGTACATTCTCCCTTACATGTCATGTCTTTATCAGATAATTGTGTGAACCCAGAACCCAGCGTACGCAAGCCGGCTGCATCATCCCATGCCGAGGAAGTTCATGAGGACTATTTGATTTTGGAGAAGAGTATCCCCTACCTTCCTTAATCCCTCCCTCCTTTAACCCTCTGGGGAACCAAAAACGTGACCCCGCGTTTTGATCGTTTTTTTTTTTCCACATAGCTGCAACATAGACTCAAAATACTCTGTCATTAATGGTCATATAAATAAAATCAATACATGATTATAAACTATAGAGGGTCTTCTTTTTTTGTGTACACTCTTATTAACAACAAAACCTTGTGTTTTTGTAAAATAAATAAGTTAAACTGGGTGCGCTTTGAGATCACTCTGCCTCTGCAAAAATCTTTCTGAAACGCATATGAAAAATGAACTTTAACTCATTAAAGGAACACTCCGACTTTTTTGGGACTTATTCAGCATATCCCTCAGAGTTAGATAAGTCCATACATACCTTTTTCATCTCTGTGCGTGCTGTAACTCTGTCTGACGCACCCACCGCTAGCCTAGCTTAGCACAAAGACTGGATGTAAATGGTTGCAGTAGCATACTAATTCCAAATAAGTGACAAAATAACGCAAACATTTTTCTATTTACATGTTGTGATTTGCATAGTCACAGAGTGTACAAATAATAAGGTCATATGAGACAAAGCCATATTTTAACTGTATAAATATTGGGAACAATATTCTCAGAAGGCGAAGCACTGCTACTTGGCGGAGTGATTTGGAGCAGAGAGGAGCAGAGAGTTCGTTCAGAGGATTACTAGATAATAAAAGCATAGTTTACAATCATGAATGTTCCTTGTATTGTAACAGCAACAATAAACAGGGGAGACCAGGTAATACCATGATGTTTCATAGATTTACAACCAAAAACGCTGACCTGATGAATTAATGGAGTTACTTGCTCTGGATAATGTTAGATCCAAACACACTTGAAGAGATCATCAAGGACCATCGTGTTTGCTCAGTACATTTCACTGAGGACGACTATTTTGAAAAAATGGAATTTGTGGCCATCCCATCGATAGCACAGACAAGACAAAGTGGATCACCTGCGGCTACGGTAAGTGTTCCATTATAGCTATATTTAGATGACTAGCCTACTGTAACAGTGTCATTAGCCAGATCTAATGTAACGTTAGTGACACTATTATTTGAATAGGGTGGTCACTACTATTGCAGTTGTTCCCGGTCTCCATATCCCTGAAAAGTTTATATGTTTTTATCTCGATGCAGCGCGGCGGACGCGCTTGGAAAAAAAACAAGCGTGTCGCACCACGACCGTGTCGCTTTCATTATGAGCACGCATATCATTCCCGTGCGCCTACATTTGAAATAACAAACTTGTGCGCGCAAAAGACGCGACATTAGCAGGCCCCTATAATGTTAGTTTTGTTTTGTTAAAAAACGTGCTCTATCGCCGCAGTAACAAATGAGTGGAGCCTTGCTAATGAGTTGTTCCAAACCTCTATGTGTTTATTTGTTCTGCTGTACACAAAGAAAGATATTTGGAGGAATGTTTTAATCAAACAGATCTCATTCCCCACTGACTATGTATTTTTTCCTAAGTCAATGGGGAATGAGATGTGTTTGATTAAAACATTCTTCCAAATATCTTCCTTTGTGTTCAGCAGAACAAATAAACACAGAGATTTGGAACAACATGAGGGTGAGTAAATACTGGCAGAATTTTTATTTTTGGGTGAACTATCCCTTTAAAAAAACCTTCTACAGGTAACCTTCAATGTATGAATGTTCAGTAAGTACAGCACCTTTCAATGTCTCCAAGTTTGTACATAGATGTTTTTTTTTTCCTCAGGCCCATACTGCTGTGAGCAGAGCAGTCGAGTTTTTGCAAGATATGACAGGTGACAAGTTTCCACCAGCAGACACAGTGCTTCATGCGTACTTGCACTTTGAGGCCCTTACTGATCATGAGTACAAGTATTCCTGCATTGCTTGTGGTGATCATCCCCCTGTGGTGATCATGGATTTACACAAAAAAGGTGTTTTCCATTTATCACGTATGACTATTGTGATACTCCACTTGCTAATTATGTTTACATTAACATCCAAATCGACTTTACATGTTTTTATATGTTCATTGTAATTGGATTTATTTTTCTTAAATGGTTTTCTTTGTATGACCTTGTCATAATGCACAATTTTTCACTCTTTAGTAAGTGACATCCAGGGTCCTGCAGAGAATTTGGCTGGGGAAGTCAACCTGGAAAAGTTTTGGGAGGCCATGTCCTGCGATATGATTGGTCGTGGATTTGTTGCAAGCATGAACACAGTGCTTTGTACACTATTGGAAAGCTTGTAAAAATGCAACACAATACAATGTTTTTTGTGGGGTATCACCAATATACCATTTTTGGGCTCCTTGGATAGGGAAGGCCACACAGTGTTCAGTCTCTGTACTAAACACAGTGTTTGAAAAGATTCACGTTTCGAAGACTGTATCTGAAATTTCTGAAATTACGGTTACAGAAGACAGACTCAGAGGAGAACTTTACAAACAAAAGGTAGGGTTTGTTAGTCAAAAACACCCGGCTGTGTTGTGTTTTTACTATTACCTTTTTAACAAGACTATGCATTTTGTTAGGTTGTGGTCTTTCGGAAGTTATGTAAAGAATGTGGCTTGGACTCCAATGGATCCCGCAGTGATCTTCTTATGAGGTTGTCAAATGAAATGAAATCCAGACAAACGTATGACAAAATCTCTGAAAAAATCTGGGGGGCCTCTGGTAAGTTTAAGTTGTCTTGCACATAATATTTTCATTACAATCTAGTAAATGTCTAGTTAGAAACAAAACTAGCTAATTTTATACTTGGATTTACTCATTGGATGAGATTAATATCTTGATTTTTAGGAGGCTGGGCAGTGATCATGTGCCCATGTGGGATTGTTCACAGTATCAAATGCAATGTCTGAGCTGAGGGCCCCGAGACTTCACAGACCTACTATTATCCTGGAAGCATATATGCCAAATGTCATAATTTTTGACTTTGCACGGGGTCTTGCAACGCACTTGAATTTAAGGGCATCAGAAGAGGTACCTATCTTTCCATTTGAAGGTCGCTTGGCAGAACCCACTCAATCCAACATCGAATTGGCTAAATCGAATTGGCTAAATCGCTACCTTGGCTGAACACTAAGAAGACAGAGCCAGACCTTAATGGTCACCCAGTGACGGGTTCATCGGATCACTATGAGCTGTATGATCGGTTTAATGAAGCCAATACAAAAGACAGCAAATATGTGTTGAGGAAGCTCACTCTAGTGAGCATTTGGGGGGCAATATGACCCCAAAATAAAAGAGGGCAATAGAGATTAGGGATTAGGACCGATACCAGCGTAATTCACACATATTTTCGCAATCCAACCTGTGGAGGTATCCAATATCCATGAGCCATGTCTGTGCTTCAAAGGAACACTCCACCGTTTTTTGAAATATGGCTTATTCACATCCTTTCCTACATTTAGAAATGTGTGCAAATGCATTTTTGTTTCAGTTAATGCATTGTTTTAGTTTGACAGGGTCGGCGCTAGCTTAGCTTAGCACAATGAATGGAATCCTTTGTTGCCAGCTAGCATGTCCTGAGTAAAAGTGATTAAAAAAACGACGTAATTACTTCTTGTGGCCTGCGTATTCACAATGAGTACAAATAGCGATGCAGATTAACACTAGGCGATTTCCTAGGCAGATATTGACTTGGGATTACATTAGGGAGAAGCACAGGCGAAGCACTGCTGCTAAGGCGAAGCATTGCTACTTGGGCGCAGAGACATCACGCAACACATGAAATCCCACGAGTCACGACTTCCGTAAACATACCGGTGTTCAACGCGTAAAAAAAAACAGAAGAAGAAGACCATACCAGCATGACCTGCACCAGCATGAGTGTATTCACTTTAGGACTATTTATTTTGAGAAGTTACAACAAACATGATAATTACATGTACATGAATTTGTACATGAATGTAATGTTTCACAGAATTCCATCGAATGTGGAACTGAGAAATAAATGGCTAGCTGCTCTGGAGATCTGTACATCAACGCATCTCTACAAAATAAAAGTTTCATGTTTGCGAAGAGCATTTTGCACTAGAGGACTACTTTGAAAAAATGGAATATGAGCCCAGAAAGACGGAACGTTACAAAGTCTGAAAGATACGGCTGTCGCATCTGTTTTCAAAGCGCAGGCAGAACAAATTGCACATGTAAGTTTTCTTTTATTACTCTCTTCCTTATGTTTATCGGTGTCTTTATTCTGTTGTAAGATCGATGCTGAGAAGCTGCATCTAGACTACGAACGTCATGTTTAATTCCACCTGTTTAGCATGAACAGCCTGTTATCGTTACCTATATCCATTTGGTCCATTCGGCGTGGGGCGTTTTATCCAGTTCACCTTATCACATCGGAAAAAATATAGAGTAACGTTACAGCAGGCTGGATCAGCGCCATGAAATCCTCGGTAGCTGTGACACAACTGCGGGCACGCTCATCTTGATCTGACGCGTTGAGCCTGGTCACCGATGGCAGTAACTGGTCCAACTCGCCACAGCTTAGACACTCTATTTCAGTTGGCATAGGTTGGCATATTCCCCCACATTCACACCACCAGTTCGTGTTGGCTCTCAGACTCATGTCCTCAGGCTGTTGAGCGATCTCAACCTCCTCCTCCTGTCGGTCTATTCTAAAGCACGCAGCTCCTCTTCTGAAAACTCTGGTTCAAATAGGTAACGTTATGGCTCTGGCTCTTGACTGTCTGAGAAGTCTCCCTCTTCGTCTCTCACAAAATCAGCCATGTTCATCGGCAGTCATGTACTGTAAGGAAAATAGTCAGGCGGCTACTATTCAAGCCGGTATGTTTACGGAAGTCGTGGAATTTCATGTGTTGCGTGACGTCTCTGCGCCCATGTAGCAGCGCTTCGCCTTTAGCAGTGCTTTGCATGTGCTTCCCCCTAATATAGTCCCAAGTCAATATCTGCCTAGGAAATCGCCTAGTGTTAATCTTCATCGCTATTTGTACTCGTTGTGAATACGCAGGCCACAAGAAGTAATTACGTGGGTTTGTTCATTTCTTTAAATCACTTTTACTCAGGACATGCTAGCTGGCAACAAAGGATTCCATTCATTGTGCTAAGCTAAGCTAGCGCCGACCGTCAAACTAAAACAATGCATGCACTGAGACAAAAATGCTGAAATTACTCCAAAAGTGATTCCCGCCACCGCATTAGCAGCGTCGCCGGTTGCCGTGTTTCAGGGTTTTTTGGTGTGTAAGTGAATGAAGAGAATGTCATGATATTACTTATCATGTGAAGATTTTGCAGCGGCGCTGAAAAACATTGTAGGGGAAACACTGGCAGAGATAGTGTCAACTTGACTCTCCCCTGTGAAGGCCTCATCAACATTGGCACTGATCCTCAACAAACCCGGAGAGAGCCAGACGGAAGTATGGGTCTTTTATATCGATCATGACAAATTTTATCTTATTTGATCCGAGGTGTTTAGGTGATTTCCGGTGTTCTTCTAAATATGTTTAAAAAGTTTCTGTCTGGCAGGGTTTGGTTGAAAATGATTCTTGATGTACGGACACGAATTTTGCTTGGCCATGCTTGGAAACCGATGTGTCCTGAAGTATACTGGACGGCGGGATACAGACACTGGCTTCCTGAGGGCTCAGAGTAGCACAGCTAGAAACCAGTGTCTGTATCCGCTGTAGGACTTGAAGCTCTCTTAGCTTGAAGGATGGTCCTCAGATCGACCTTCTTTTCATAAGACTTCGGGCGATAGCATCGCCTGTGCCTCTAAGCTTCTTAAAGGGCACCTATTGTGGCATTTAAAATGTTCCTAATATTGTTCTGGGAGTCCCCAACAACTGTTTTACATGAATGCAATGTCTTATAATATGCATTTATTTTTACCTGATTTGCTCACCAACACCCAAAGGATTCGTACAACAACTCATTTTTCGAAAACACTGCTTTGCGTGACGATAATCGGCGGTGATTGGTCAGATGATCAGTCAGTTATTGTTTGTTAGCCCAACGCATAAACATATTGATAAAGCACTGCAGTACTAGTCAAGTCAAGTCAAGTCAAATTTATTTATATAGCGCTTTTCACAATACAGATTGTATCAAAGCAGCTTCACAGTGATAACATGAAAGTAGTACAACACAGATCAACAACATTGCTAAACACTAAATAACCCCAACTGAGCAAGCCAAAGTACTGAGCAAACCCCAACTACTACAAGACGCTCTATTCTTTATGACAACTTCAATAACAGCGACAAACATTTCACATGAAATTGGAGACCTAGAAGCTGCGCTGAGCGTAACTTACACAAACACACACACACATGCACACACATACTTATTGTGCCTTCCCTCCTCGCGCCCGACGCTATAAACCCCATAAAAGCAACAATTATTAATAATACTTGCAGGTTGTGATTCGGAGGAGGAAGCTGATCCATATACACTGGGTACTGAGACATCCTTCAGGAACAACTGGCTTGCGAATCCACATTTGAACTCATTTATGTTTTTGAATGATTCATCATTAAAATGATGAGAACACAATCGGGCTATACTGTTGTGGTATCGTTGCAAATATGAACTCTAACCACCGATTCTTCACATGCTCGTCCCTGGTAAATGAAAACAAAGTGGCTGAACTATCTTTGCATTGTAGAACACAGCGTCTTCTCGACATGATGCTATTCAGCTGAAGTATTTGTGTTCTAGACACTTCCGTCTGCTCGCGCAGTAACTGGGCGCGGCCAATATGCTTATGTTTCGTATCTACGTCACGACGAAACAGCAAATGACTCGTTTCAAAAACAATTCATTTCATAGACTCAAGAGTCGACTCTCACTTTTGAAAGACAATAACTTTATATACGGTGCACTTTCAGATATAAATCTTTGCAGGATGTTTTCATTCCCTTAGAGCTATATTCCACACCACATGAACAGTCATTTTCAAAAATCCATGATAGGGGCTCTTTAAGGGGGAGCGCCAGAAGCGACGCTCTCCTTCTGTACATGCCAGTATTCGGTTGTTAAGTCGTGACGTAATCACGCTCTGATAATACTGTTTCCGGGTCCAAATGCTGGGTCCTCTCTATCTGCTTACCGCTTTTGCCCGAGTTTTAACATGCCGCAGTGCTGTGTCCCATGTTGTTTAAATAGATCGGAGTTAAAAAAAACAAGTGACATTCAACTGTCATTCTACCGCTTTCCCTGTGACGAGAAAGAAAAGAGAAAATGGCTGCAGTTGATAAGGTAAGTTACAATTCTTTCCTTTATCCCTAACACCCACTGGCGCTGAAGCGAAGCCAGTCCTTTAAGAAAAGGGCTTAGTCTAACGCATAGGTCGGCAACCCGCGGCTCTAGAGCCACATGCGGCTCTTAAGCGCCGCCCTAGTGGCTCCCTGGAGCTTTTTCAAAAATATGAAAATGAAAAAAAAAAAAATGTTTTAAAATAATTTCTGTAGGAGGAAAAACATGACAAACATTCTTAAAGTTTTTTAACGTTGTAAAAATGTGTATAATATTTAATTTCAACATTTCTGTCGACGAAGAATTCACGTCATAGACTGCGACACGCGCCTTTCTGTCAGACGGCGGGTGACAAATAAACAAACCGGCGGGTGTCATGGGTCATGGATCCCAAGGGGAAAAAGAGAAAGATAGCTGAGGAGAACAGGGGATTCAACAGTTCTTGGACCGAATCATTTGCTTTCATTGCCAATGCAGATGGATTGCCTGAATGTTTGCTTTGTAATGAGAAGTTGTCAAATAACAAAAAGAGTAACGTGGAAAGACATTTCCAGGGAAGGCACGCTACATTTGCAGCTAAGTACCCAGTTGGGAGTGAGAGAAAAAGTGCGATTGCATTACTTCTGGAGAAATTAGAGGAGCGCAAAGATAAATTTAAAAATTGGATTGCATCTCCAAACTCCACTACTGCTGCTAGTTTTGTTGCTACCCGGGAGATAATAAAGCGTGGGAAACCGTTCACAGACGGTGACTACATGAAGGATTCATTCATTAAAATATCAGAGCATCTATTTTCAGACTTCAAAAACAAAACCGAGATAATACAGAAAATTAAAGACATGGCTCTCTCCGCAAAGACAGTGAAGGAAAGGGCCATTAAAATGGCAGGCAACATCACCAATCAGCAAATCAAGGACATTAATTCAGCTGCAGCATACTCAATTACCTGTGATGAGTCGTGTGATGTGACCGATATTGAACAGGCAGCGCTGTTATGCAGGTATGTTAACTCTGATGGGCCGCAAGAAGAAATGGTCGAATTAATACCACTGAAAGGCCAAACACGCGGGGAGGACATATGTGAGGCTGTGCTGAAGTGTTTAAATGACAATGGAATAAACACCAACCACCTTATTTCAGTGGCTACAGATGGGGCACCCAGTATGAGGGGATCGCAAAAGGGGTTTGTGACTTTATTACAGAAAGCGTTGGGTCGAAATCTGCTCGCATTTCATTGCATCTTGCACCAAGAAGCACTGTGTGCACAAACATTCCCACCGGAGTGTATGGAGGTGATGAACCTTGTCATCGAGATGGTGAACAAGATAATTGCAAAAGCATTAAACCACCGTCAGTTCCGTGCATTGCTAGATGAAGTTGACAGCGAATATTCCGATCTCCTACTACACAACAAAGTCCGATGGCTGTCCAGAGGCGAGGTTTTGCGTCGTTTTGTTGCTTGTTTAGAACATGTGAAAACATTCCTGAAAAGCAAAAACCTGAACTACCCGCAACTGGAAGATATCGAGTGGTTGGAAAAACTGCACTTTATGGTGGATATGACAAGTCACCTAAACATGCTGAATAAAAGTCTCCAGGAGCGGGGAAACACTGCACTGCAAATGCTGGAAGCCGTTTTGTCATTCGAGCGCAAGCTGACTGTATTCGCCAGAGATGTACAGCGAGGCACGCTCTCTCACTTCCCCTCCCTGAGAGAGTTCAAAGAAGCCTATCACGATCACATACTCAATGGTGATTTTTTACAAGGTGTGATAGTGGATATGCAAACTGCATTTGGGAGCAGATTCAGTGAGTTCCGAAAGGAAAAAATGACACTATCTTTCCCTGTCACTCCCCTGGAGATTGACCCGTCCTTGTTGAACACATTCCCAGGAATAATTCAAGCTGACCTTGAAATGGAAATGGCCGATATAGTTGACAAAGATTTGTGGGTGTCCAAGTTCAAAAGTCTGACAGCCGCGCTTGAAGACGTCACTCGCCAGAAAGCCCAGCTTGCCCAAAGCCACGAATGGAGCAAAATTGAAAGCCTCCCAACTATCGAGAAACTTGTGTTTGAAACATGGAATGCTCTTCCTGACAGTTATAGGAACATGAAAAAATATGCATTTGGAGTATTATCCATCTTTGGATCAACATACCTGTGCGAGCAGATATTCTCAAACATGAATTACATCAAATCCAAATACCGCACCCGCCTCACAGATGAGAGCTTGCAGTCCTGCGTGAAGATTAAAGTTACATCTTACATGCCTGATGTTGAGAAGCTGTCCAGTGATGTCCGAAAACAGAAGTCACATTAAACGGGTAAGCACATAATCCTGTCATAGGCGCATATTTAGTAACAAAGTGACTTTTTCATAAAGTGATTTCTGATTTGTGTCAGTATATTTGGAATGACACAGCCTATGTCTGATATTGTGTTTAGTTGGTTCGAGGATGGCTGCATTATTGCGCGTGTCAAAAGGAAAGAGGATACTGCATTTTACCCTTGCACTGACTTGAAAACTAAAGAGAAGAGGACGGGCATGACTGGGCTGCTTTTATGTTTTTAGTGTCTTTTACACTGTTTTAATGTAGGCTATGTTTTATGCATGTTTTAAAGTCTATTACAGTTCGTGTCAAAAGGCTGCTGTTTTATTGCACTCTTTGTTTTGCAATATGTTGCCTAGATAAGGGGGGAAGAGAAAAGGAATGTATTGTATTGTTGAGGATTTATTTTAAGAGGACTGCATTTTATTTCCATGGGGAGGTCTCAGGAGGCCTTTGCACGTTGCACATTTAATTTTTTTTTTTTTTTTCGAATCCTAAAGTAAAAATGACATAAAAAAAAAATCTGATTTCTTTGTTGTATTTCTTTAATTTCATCAATGCAACGAAACGTAATACATTAAAATTAATATAGAAGTTAAACTTAAAGCACCATCGTACAGCAAAGTAGTCACGTGGTGCGTCATTCTCTCCAGGATGCGCTGCAGAGAATATAAACATTTAATCATGAATGCTCATTATGTATTTGTAGCCTACTTATCATTTTGATACTAGAGGGCTAATATAACACTTATTGCATGTGTTGTCGTCATCAAGGCTTATATAAGGCTTTTAATTTTTTTGCGGCTCCAGACAGATTTTTTTATTTTTTTATTTGTCCAATATGGCTCTTTCAACATTTTGGGTTGCCGACCCCTGGTCTAACGTTATGGGTTGTAACGTTAATTAGATATGGACGAGCGGAGCGCTTGGACCCGGAAGAGGCTAAACGTCACGCGTGACGTCAGACTTAACAACCGAATGAGGAGCTTGCTGACGGCTGAGGCTACCCACTGGAGTCAGCCTTCTTATGGCGCTTTTCCATTACCAGTACCGACTCGGTTTTCCATTGCAGACAGTACCGCCACAAATAGTACCCGGTCGTCATAGCGATGCCTTTCGTTCCTCGTTGCCCCATCAAGCTCTCGCTGGATCCTCTCTTCGCCAACCAAAAGAAAGTCTACACCTCCTCATTTGACCATGGCGTATTCTTCCGAGTTGCCAACTGTTTAAAAATGGTGGGGTTATTCTGGATAATCCATCGGTTTAGTCAGCTGCGCTGTGCATTATGGGATGTTTGTTGACAGTTTACACTTTAGCACCTAAGCCTCATGTCAGCTCGCAGACAAACTTAGAGTTGTGAGGAGAATCATACAAATTTGGTACAGTATTTATTAATCTTTGTTAATGTTAGTTATTAACAACACAGCTGTTCATTGTTTGTTCATGTTAGTCCACACAGTGCATTAACTAATATTAAAAAATACAACATTTGAAAAGAATGTTGAAGTTAATATTAGCTAAGATTAATTACTGGTGTAGAAGTATTGTTCATTCTTAGTTAATGTAAACTAAAGTAGTTAACTAATGTAACTAATAAAACCCCATTGTAAAGCATTAACAAAAAAATAATGTAGGCCTAAATGTTGTTTATGTGTGTTAAACAGATTTCCACCACACTCATCCACTATAAGGAAAATAAATCACACACAATTATTGTTTTATTTAATTTAGCACAATTGCATTAATTTTGCACAATTGATATATATATATATTAGAGCTTCATCAAAAACAATATTGGTTTATCACTCTTTCCGCACAGACAAAATGCATCATTCAATAATTGGTTTGTTATTGAAAAAAGTTATTCACTCCTTGTAAATGTTTTCTGCGCACAAACATATAAGTCCCATTTACAGAATCTCACAAATTCAACGTAGTTTAGCGTTTTTTTACGTGGTAGTTAATATTAGTGATTAAGAAACCTGTATTTTACCAACGCAGCTTTTGTTTTCAGGACTTTAATTTTGGAGAGGATATGTGACGTCATAAGGTTGCGCCGCGCTCCCGCATTATGTTGTGATTCGGCAGAAGAAAGGTTTGTTTTAAGCATTTTAGATTCAAGTGTTTAAATTAATGCAAACTCAATCAATTTAAATATCTTTTACATGTAATGTAAAATAAGTTAATTAATATTGAATGTAACATTATAATGAGTTATCTGACATTATTGAACGTTTTTTTTGTGCAAAAAGTTAAGCAATGAGTAACTTAAAGGTGCGTCTCTTTTTCGCTCGCTATATTTTATGAATTAGTTTAGCATAAACGTGAATCCCGCTACTTGCACGTATTAATATAAGAAACGGAGCTTTTGAAACCCAAGAGTCAACTAAATCAATCAATCAATCCCTACACAGAATGATTCACTGTATCGACTCGATCGAATCACCTCAAACACGGACGACTCCTGCAGGTCAAACAGTTTAAACAACGAGAACAACAAACACAAACAAGTAAGACAACTTTTACTAACTAGCTACAAATGTTGTAATACAGTAACTTAAATGTAATCTACAAATAAATTTAGTAAAAATCATGTTGTCTAAATAGAAACTGTGTTATTTTTGTTATTTTATCAAATGTGTTGTGCTAGTTTTTGTACTTTTTTTGGTCTAATTAGGCAATTTAAGTCCATTAACTCACTCTCTCTCTGACTGACTCTCTTACCAGTGAACTGAACTACTGAACTAGATCAGATTGAGACACTTTCAGAGATTTAGTTTAGAGTGTTTTTAGTCTAATCAGATCATTTAAGTCCATTAACTCTCTTTCTGACTGACTCTCTTACCAGTGAACTGAACTGCTGAACTAGATCTGATTGAGACGCTCTCAGAGATTTAGTTTAGTGTTTTTAGTCTAATCTGATAATTTAAGTCCATTAACTCACTCTCTGACTGACTCTCTTACCAGTGAACTGAACTAGATCTGATTGAGACGCTCTCAGAGATTTAGTTTAGAGTGTTTTTTAGTCTAATCAGATCATTTAAGTCCATTAACTCTCTCTCTGACTGACTCTCTTACCAGTGAACTGAACTACTGAACTAGATCTGATTGAGACACTCTCAGAGATTTAGTTTAGAGTGTTTTTAGTCTAATCAGGTCATTTAAGTCCATTAACTCACTCTCTGACTGACTCTCTTACCAGTGAACTGAACTAGATCTGATTGAGACACTCTCAGAGATTTAGTTTAGAGTGTTTTTAGTCTAATCAGGTCATTTAAGTCCATTAACTCACTCTCTGACTGACTCTCTTACCAGTGAACTGAACTAGATCTGATTGAGACACTCTCAGAGATTTAGTTTAGAGTGTTTTTTAGTCTAATCAGATCATTTAAGTCCATTAACTCTCTCTCTGACTGACTCTCTTACCAGTGAACTGAACTACTGAACTAGATCTGATTGAGACACTCTCAGAGATTTAGTTTAGAGTGTTTTTAGTCTAATCAGGTCATTTACGTCCATTAACTCTCTCTCTGACTGACTCTCTTACCAGTGAACAGAACTAGATCTGATTGAGACGCTCTCAGAGATTTTAGTTTAGAGTGTTTTTCTTTCTGTTAATTATTCTCGTCTTAAATAGGATGAAGTGTTCATAAACTGAGGAAAAACTCCTGGTGAAGCGACTGAGAGCCACGTGATGCTATTATAAAGATGGCATTTATTAAAGAGGAGAGCAAAGACATAAAGATGGCATTTATTAAAGAGGAGAGTGAAGACTTCAAGATTGAAGAAACATTCAGTCTGAAACAAGAAGACACTGAGGAATACACAGGTTGGTTTCATTCTCAAAGCTGAACTCAGTCATTTAGTACTTATTAAAATGTCCAGCTCTACAGAAATGCATGATATATTTGTAAGTGTGTCTTAATTAAAGTGGTTTTATTTGACACAAAGCGGGTCGCCTCGTTGACAGACATGTTGAGATCACATGACCGGGCAATTTTATTTTTCCTAATTAGTTTGAGATAAAATTATATTACTCATTAAAAATACATATTTAAAAAACTAATTTATTTACAATTGTCATGTTTGTGATTGTAGGACAACTCATAAGTTAGCGGTGCATGGGCTCCCTCGATCTAAAAGCTATGCATTTTCCCCATATACTTTTGGAAAATCGCAAAAAGTAAGATCTGTGTTCAACAAAGAGTTACCAGTCATGAAAATTACTCACCTTTCGGCGTATAAAATCTAGAATTTATACATTTTAAAGCTTGTATAAAGTTTAAAAATCCACACACAGGTTATAACTGGTGTGTTTTATGTCATAGATCAAAACGTGAAAATATTTAGAGGCTTTGTTCACCATAAACATCATTTCAGGCGATTTAGCAAAAACCCATTCAAAAATCCCATAGACTTTAGAGCGAGGGAACCACTCTGGAATGCTGAATTTCGTCCCTTCAGCCCCCTTTTATTTCATCTGAAATAACACAGATTATGAGGACCCGTGCAGCATTTAGAGTAGTGTGCGGCAGCAATGCACAACACGCTGTGAATGATTAATGATAAAATCAATGTTAAGAAAATGACTTTCCCTCTGATAGTCTTCAGGATCTTTTTAACCCGCTAATGACTTTTGCTGAATTGAAAAAAAAAAAACCAAAAAAACTTACCGTTGTCCAAATGGCATGGAACTTTGTACGGCTCTCATCCTAGAATGGGAAAGAAAGGTGATTTAAGCCATTTTGAGCGTGGCATGGTTGTTGGTGATAGACGGGCCGGTCTGAGTATTTCACAATCTGCTCAGTTACTGGGATTTTCACACACAACCATTTCTAGGGTTTACAAAGAATGGTGTGAAAAGGGAAAAACATCCAGTATGCGGCAGTCCTGTGGGCGAAAATGCCTTGTTGATGCTAGAGGTCAGAGGAGAATGGGCCGACTGATTCAAGCTGATTGAAGAGCAACTTTGTACTCTGATGTATCTCGATTTCTGTTGAGACGTTCAGATGGTAGAGTCAGAATTTGGCGTAAACAGAATGAGAACATGGATCCATGCCTTGTTCCCACTGTGCAGGCTGGTGGTGGTGGTGATGTAATGGTGTGTTGGATGTTTTCTTGGCACACTTTAGGCCCCTTAGTGCCAATTGGGCATCGTTTAAATGCCACGGCCTAACTGAGCATTGTTTCTGACCATGTCCATACTTTTATGGCCACCATGTGCCCATCCTCTGATGGCTACTTCCAGCAGGATAATGCACCATGTCACAAAGCTCGAATCATTTCAAATTGGTTTTTTGAACAGTCCTTCCAGAAAAACGTGGAGTTTTTTTTGTGATTGTTGCGGGCAAAAATCCTTGATTACGCGGCCCGTTTTATTTAAAAATGCGATGGAATATGCGGGATATTTATGCAATTTTATGCGATTAAATTGCGGGAACTTGCAAAAATTGCAGGAACTTGCAAAAATTGCGGGAATTTGCAAAAATTGCGGGATCTTGCAAAAACTGCAGTTTGATGAAAAAGAGAAAAAAAGTGATTCCCCCAACACCCTGTTCTCACTAGGCTACTACAAAGAGTCATTTCTTATTACTTCCTTTGATAAGCAAGCATACTACATCATAGAAAGTGCTGGGAATATTTAATTTCTCATCTTGTTTTATATCAGCCTATAACGAGTGTAAATAAGGTGTGGCCCTTTTAAGAGCTGCGCGCTCCCTGTTGAATTGTCTGCAGTGTTATATGTGCGCCTCAAACACCCCATGTGTGCGGGTAATTTCTATTTGATGCTACTTCTTTTATCTCATGTTGTTTATTAAGTAACGATGTGACGGTAGAACGTGTGACAGACAGTTATATGTAGGGATGGGTACCGAAACCCGGTATTAAACGGGCCCCGGTACTGAATTTTAAAAGACCGCTGTATCGATAAGCTCGGACGTTATCGGTTCCGCTGTCGGTACTGGAGAAATTATTTATCATTCCTATAAAGACGTTATCTTGAACATGTTTATATCGCCAGCCTTTTCTATATATAAACTGTATTTTAATTAAACCATTTGTCTGTGATGCAAATTTGAAATTCGCAGTTCAGAAGAGAGAGAGAGAGAGAGAGAGAGAGAGCGATCTCTCACGCAAAGCCACAGCACGCGCAACACGACAGTTGCTTAATGAGTGACAATGAGGACAGAACTAAACATTCAACGTGGTTACACTTTAGATGTGGGATATTATTCTAATATATTTTGTATTTCGGCTTCCAAAGATTATAAAAAGAAGATATTTGAGATAAAACCGTTAAAAATCAAGACGCATGATCTGTCCAGCTTAACGTCCTTTAGCCTACTTCACAGCACTGCAGAGCGCTGTCAGTTCTTCCTAAAACCCAAACGTACCGTCAGAATCAGCACGATCGGCGATTGTTGCAAAATGCTGTCTTCTACTGTTGCAAGATCAAAAAATGGCTATTAAAAACACAAAAGCCTGCGCAAGAGCCTGTTCACAAGGCGGTGCGCGCTCCGAAACGGACTGCAACGAGACAAGAAAAGTAGCCTATACTTTGGGCTTTGTGTGTCCTTAACTATCAAATATACATAAAAATGTCAAAATGACCAGCTCTGAGATTCACACAGTTCATTCACTTAAACACAATTATGTCTTAAATGGACGTAAATAATAGGGAGAAAATGATGGTGCTTCAGTTGATGGTGCACCTATTAGATTTGCTCTCGGTCTTAAAGGGGCAGCAGTCTAATAGCCTAAACGTGCTGACGATTCAGCCATTAATGCAAATCAAACAACAAAAGGCAGAGAAAATCACTCACAGCTTTTGAATGAGTAACTTTAGATTTAATAAGCATTAATCTATCTATGATAAACTATACAGTGCTATTTTATATTTGATTACTAAATTAGGTTTCTTTTCAGACAGAAACAATTACCTGAAAAGATATGTTACACCTTCCTGAAATTAAAGCACTTTGTATATAATTTGTATCTTTGATTAATTGTATTCTTGTGTTTGTACTTGTTTTTTTCTTATGTGTCCTTTTTGTATATAAAACAAAAAAAGCCTGCACATTGCTGCATAACAAAAATATATTTTTCTTCGTTTTGTTTTTTCTATTTTACATTTCAAAATATAGAGTTTAATTATGTTCTTTATTCTTAAAAAAAAAAAAAAAAAAAAACACCAAAAAGAACCGATAAGAATACCGTTAAAGTACCGGATCGATAAGCGGTATCGGTAAGAGTAGTAATACCGATAAAACCTTAACGATACCCATCCCTAGTTATATGAGTTCGATTTGTGAGATGTCAATCGCCTCCTTGAGTCTGTCTGGCCTCTGCAATAACTTCAGCTGTGAGCTATCCCGTCGCGTAATTGCGCCACTTCATAACGTTCCCATGTAAACAGGGGGAAATGGCTGCTCTTGCGTGAAGAAAACACAACATTTTTCGACTTTCTGCTAAGATATATGTGACTTTTTTGCAACGAAAATGCGAGGATTATGAAATCATGCAAACCCTGCATATTTTGCACGGAAATCGGCAATTTATGCGACGAAAGTGCGGCGTATTTGAAAAAATGCGGCCCCCGCATAAATATGCGGACTTTGGCTGATTTTGCATTGAATTCAGCGATCGCATAATCGCGTTTTTCTGGAGGGACTGCTTGAACATGACAATGAGTTGACTGTACTAAAATGGCCCCCACAGTCACAGATCTCAACCCAATAGAGCATCTTTCAGATGTGGTGGAGCGGGAGCTTCGTGCCCTGGATGTGCATCCCACAAATCTCCATCAACTGCAAGATGCTATCCTATCAATATGGGCCAACATTTCTACAGAATGCTTTCAGCACCTTGTTGAATCAATGCCACGTAGAATTAAGGCAGTTCTGAAGGTGAAAAGGGGTCAAACACAGTATTAGTATAGAGTTCCTAATAATCCTATGATATAAAAATGATAAAATTCTGCTTTTGTATAAAAACGCCGATCCAAGTGCGCTGAACTGTGCAGAATCTCATATGGTCCGTTGTTTCCAGAAGAAACACAAACACGAACCGTTTTCTTCTCTTCAATATGTACACGTAGCCTACTGTTCGCGCTCACCTTATCACCTTATTCACATCTCACCAGCGCACATGGATCGGCGTTCGTAGATCGACTGGTAGAGACTATTTTTCCAAGATGGCTTCTTCCTGTATTCGCGAAGTTGACTGTGTGTATAAAATATCTTCCTTGTCATTACTCTATGCCCTATATAGACTAGCGTTATAGGCTAAACTGTTTTTAGAGATAAAACTATTTACATTAGGCAATCATGAAAACAAATCTCAGATAACGGTTGACTTGGTAACAATGTGTAATTAGACCAAAGGTTCATTTTGCGCCGGAGTTCTCCTTTAATCTTTCCATTGAAACCCAGTTATACTATTGAATGGTCGTGCAGCACTATCATTTTCCATTACACAGCTTTTTTTGGAAGCTAAGCTAGCAGGCTCTTGTTCTGTGGAGAAAGCTGAGTAGTAACTTTAGGGGTTAACGTCCTCTTTTTCCCGGACATGTCCGGCCATCGATGTCCGAGATTCAGCTCTTGCTTTCTGCAGTCGCCATGCATTGTTTACATGTAAGTTACAGCGGCCCTCACTCGTCCTGCTCGCCACAGTAAACATAACTTGCGTTGTTCTCCACACGGCCCTCAGTCGTCCTGCTCGCCACAGTAAACATGATGAATGGCGATTGTAGAACGCAAAAGCCGAACCCCAGACATTTTGGGCGATCTCGAAACACATTTTCGGGCAGACTCATCACGGAGAATCACTAGTAGCCAAGACTTTTTGTTCACCTACTGCGCGGTTACTGGTAGGAGGGCCTCCTAGGGCAGCGAAGCAAGTGCATTCTGGGAGTTGTTGTCTTCATCAACATAAGCCAAAAATACATTTTCTGTTTTTTCTCAGTCTAGAAAGCTCCAAATTTCAAAAAATAATTTCACATTTCTTCTACATAAATTATCTATCTTTCCAGAGGTGGAGTGACCCTTTAAATGTCCTCCGAAAATGGCCTTCGGCTTATTTTTCGGGCTCCAAACTTTACACTCAAACTTGAGGTCACTCAAACTTTAACATTATCAACCTAAATTAAACAATAAATACATTTGTAATTCTACAGTGTACAAGATTACACGTATAAATTAAATTTGCATGCGCAAGAAAAGATTTGTAAAGGTGTAAATCGCCTTTTAAGAGCAAGATAAAAAATATTTTACTGTTATTTGTAAGTGTTATTCATGTATGTGAAATAGCAGCTTACTGCTAACGCAAAATAAAATAGGATCTGTATTCTTCTGACTTCCATTTTTCCACGCTTATACTTTTGGCATGGTTTTTTCGCACAAATACGGGCAAAAGTATGCAGGCCTGTGCAGCAATTTGCAAAATACAACCAGATTAGAAACTGCAAAAACGGATGAATTGTGTAAAATCAAACTTTTGTGTAAAAAAATAAACTTGTAAATGCCTAAATGACTTGTTATGTGCATGGGGCAAAAAAAGTCCCTGAAATTACCGATTTTTTTTACGTGCATTGCGTTGTTTTGCATTTCCAAGCACGAAGAGGAGGGCGGGTCCACCTTCATCATGTAGCAAATCAAATGAGCTTCTCGCTTACTCTAGATTTACTCTTATCTGAAAGATTCAATAAACACGCCTGTCACCAGAACACATCTTTATCTTCATTTGGCAAAGAAACGTTCTCGTTCTGAGTTTTTATTATTATTTATTTATTATCAGGATTCTTTGAACAGAACTTGTAGAACAGCATTATTTGAAACGGATACCGTTTTTATACTTATATATAAATGTCTTAACTGTCTAATTTTGACCAATTAAATGCATGATTTTCAATTTAAAATAATAATCCGCATTAACAA